GAGTGGAATAATGGAAAGAAGGTTGGTGAGCGGATGAATGGTGGGATAAGTGGAATTAAAGGTCGCTGGAATATTGAATGGCAGAATGGGCGAGCGCTGGATCGACGCATGTATGGAAAGATGGCTGGACCCATGATTGGAGGGATAGATGGAATGATGGATGGACGGATGATTGGATTGATGGATGGATTTATTAGTGGAAATTTCTTGGACAGACGATCGAAGGAATTGATCGAATAATGAATTCTAGCTTGGATGGAAAGATGGCCGGAAGGATGGATGTTGGTTTGCATGTTTGGACGGATGCATGGAGGGATCGATGGCTGGCAGGATGGGGGAAAGTTTGGCTTAGTGGATGAATGTACTTTTGACTGGCTTTATGTTGAATGTTCGAATGTATTGCTTTTCGGTTCGTTTTTACGCCTAGCCCGATAGAATGCGGTTTGTGCGTCTCAGTGTTCGGCTGGTTGGCTGTTTGGCTGGCTGGCCGGATGGAAGGATGGAAGGATGGATGAGTGGCAGTCTCAAGGTCCGTGGTGTGCATCACAGGCGTGTACGAGGGGTGTCTAAGAGCGGAGACGCCGGAGGCGAGAAGGGCGGATGAGCAGAGGACATAGAGGCGGGGTGCGGAGGCATAAAGGAGCTAAATTTCGACGCACCACGCCGCGAAAGGTCCGAGATTGTCATGCCCAAGCGCAGGTGGGCCTCAGGAGCACCGAGGCGTCTGGTGAGGGGGTGGCAGACGAGGCGACTGGGCGCATGAAGGCCTGCTCACGACATGCTCACTCAGCCTGCGCTCTTCTGTTTATCCCACGTCACTGGGGTCTGGTGTCTGTCGCCCTGGGATCAGCCAATCACAATTCACCTGGCATGACCTAAACATGCCAGAGCTATTGGCCCACGTGGCGAGAACGCACCCTCGTTTCGTGCTATAATTATGCAGAGAGGAGGCAAAAACCAGCTTATTGATCGGATCGCACTGAGACACGGCAGAGCGACATCTAGGCGCCGACTGATTGGCCAATTGCAGACAGCCAACTGAATCCGACACGATCGCGCCAATCAGAGACGAGCAAGTGTCTACAAATCGCCTGAGTGTCAATTGCCTTGCCAATTCCCGCTGCCAGGTCGTTAAGCCAATCATTGCCGCGTCTGCTCTGCTCTCTATCGCCAGCCGAGTTAGTACAGATAATCCTGTCCAAGAGCCTGATCACCTGCTGTCCATTCACATCGCCTCGTGGCCTCTGCTCGCTTGCTCTGCCAGACGCCTCTGCCCTCGTTCTGAGCTTCCTCTGGCTCCGACGTCCTGCTCCGCCTTCACTGGAGGTAACCTGATCACCGCAAGGGATGGAGGAGAGCGGCGTGTACTTTCAAAGCCTGTCAGAACTGCTTCAGGAGGTGTTCAGCCGAACGGTGCAAAGTGAGGCCGAAGTGAGCTATGCCTCAGCCACTTTGATACTCGGTAAGCAGATGCGCCACTTTTGGCGCCCATTTACTTTTCACCGCCTGGCTGGTGTCTGCTTGCATTTGCGCCCTCTGCTCGACCGCGTCCACACGCACGGCTCGCTCAGGCGCACTCCACTCCGGCACACTTTCGGGCCCACGTCCGCAATCCCGGCAGGTCCGAGTCCCTTAAGCCCCACCCCCACCCCCTAAGGCCTTGTCTCGTGGCCGTGGAGCCGCCATTTGTATCGCGGTTGCTGGGTTTCTTTTCTCCCTTTCTGCGGTACAGTGTGTTGGGAGGCGCCGATGTCCAAACCATTTGTGGCGCGTGCTCTTGAAGACTCACTCGTGACCATATGAAGAGAAGATGCGTTTCGACGACTCCTTTAAGAGATCGATACCGGCCTACCTTTCATTTCGTCCGAGAAGGCGGTCGAAGGGATTCGTAGATTGCCCGCACTGGATACCGAAGACGGGTTGCCTTGGACTTACTTCTGTCGAATTGTGCGAAGGAGCCCTCGGCTCACCGTCTGACGACCCGATGGCCACGTGCTGAACTTGCCTCGGTCATGTCACGGGTGTCGTCGTCACGAAAAAATCGCCATCTTTCTTGGTTTCTGGCTCCGACGACATCAGTCACATGACGCAGGGAAGTTCAGCACGGAACCATCGGGTCGTCGAGAGCTTTGCACGAGGCAACCACGGACAATGTACGAATCCCTTCGACTTGCCTTCTCAAACTGAATAAAATGATACGAAGATAAAGTTGGTTTCGATGAATCTCCTGAGATACCATTGTTAGGGGGACCTTCATTTCGAGTGAAAGTGCATGAAGAAGAGATTCATTGGTCGATCTTGCCAGATGAGGACGGATGAAACTCGTAGTGCAGCTGTTTGGCTGATAATGCAAGGGCCCCCATTGCTTATGGTCTTTCTAAGGTTCACAAAGAGCGTGCCCCTCTAAGATTAATTGTAAATAATAAAGGAAGCATGATACATTAAATCTCTCGGTTTTTATGCATACAACTAAGGAACTCATCCAATTATTGGCTATATTCAGTTAACAATTTGTATGACTTTGTGAAATTGCTAGATCAGCAGACAATTTCTGAAGAGGATAAGCTAGTAAGCTTTGATGTTGTCGCTATATGCACAAACATTCCTGTCCAAGGAGCTATTTAACCTCTGATACAAACTTTGGAAGAAAGTCCAGAGATAACACAAGGAATAAGGCTGACTCATTAATCTATGCATGAGTACCACATATTTTACCTTTGACGTTAATTTGTACTAACAAACGCAAAAATTGGCGATGGGATCTTGCCTGTCTCCCATCTTAGCGAACAATTATATGGCAAAATTGGAGGAACACTTCCTGCAAGAGGCAATACTAACGCCCAAATTGTTGGTTAGATACATGGATGACTATTTTGTCGTCTGGCCTGATGGTAAGGACAATTTAAATAGTTTCATATTTTCACTGAACCAGCGTGAAAGGAACATTAGGTTCACGATGGAAATGGAAGAGAATAAGTCCTTACCTTTTCTGGATGTTCTCATCATTCGAGAAGAGGCTAGGTTAGGAAGAAATGTTTATAGGAAGCCAACATATGTTGGCTCTGCTTAATTTTATTTCCAACCATAATTACAAGACTAAGGTTGGTATTTTGAAATCAATGATTCTTAGAAGTATGAAACTAGCAGATAGACAATAGAATAATATCTCTATACTGAGGAATAAATTTTCAGACGGAGACAATTTAGTCAAAGAGAGATAGACTAAGAGCTTTTCCCATATCTTAATTTTACCGTCATGCCTTCTCTCTGAAAAGATAAGCGAATTAGTAAAGAAGTGGGGCATAAAAACCGTATTCAAAGAAACCCTCACACTTTTTTCCTTTATGCCATCATTTAGAAAGAAATATGACCCATTATCGAGATCCGGCTGTCAAGATTGTTTGCTCATGTGGTCGATGTTATGTTGGTGAGACATGCCGACCTATTCGACAAAGATTGGTATAACACAAAAATGCTTGCAAAGGTCAAAAGTGCCTGAACACATGATAGAAACTGGACATGAAATGGAATGTTCTAGAACTAGTGGGTTTGCTGATTACGCTACGTCTGTGTTTAAAAGAAAGATAAGAGAGGCTATTGGAATTAATAGATTAGGAAATAG